GTAATAATAATAAAAATGATAATTATAATACTACTAATAATAATATTAACAACGATAGTAAAGATGGCAATTCATATAATCATATTTATGATAATAATTATGATAGGGAAGCTAATTACCAGTATCATATTATTAACACTATTGTCATCATTTTCATATCGTTATTATTATTATCATTGTCACTATTATCATTATCATTCTCTCTCTCTCTCTCTCTCTCTGTTCTTCTCTCTCCCCCCCCCTCTCTCTCTCTCTCTCTCTGAGTCGAAACACAACCTTTTGAACCTACTAAGCGCGACTCCTCAAAAATGCTATGAATATTTCATAGTTTAATCTCACAAGCAAACAAAGGGCCAGAGAGAGACACAGCAGCTACAATCTGTATTGTTGGCTTGAGATCTTTAAACTAAAATATATAACTTGATACTTGCTCTAACAAGGGAGTTTTTTATTTGTTTCTAGTGAAAGAGAAGTGAGGAGTGAAAAGACACTTGTGTAGGGGAATTTGTTTTCATACATTTTTTGTTGGATTGCTCATGCAAGCGAAATTTATATATATGTGTGTGTGTATATATATATATATATATATATATATATATATATATATATATATATATATATATATATATATATATGTATATATATATATGTATGTATATATATATATATATATATATATATATATATATATATATATATACATATATATATATATATATATATATATATATATATATATATATATATATATATATATATATATATATACACACACACACACACGCACACACATATATATATATACTCATACACAACACACACACACATATATACATATATATGCACATATGTTTACATATATGTGTATATATATGTATATATATAATATATACATGTATATATGCATATGTGTATGTACATACAATGCATACACACAAACGCGCACACAGATATATAAATGTATATATGTATATAAAAATATAAATATACACATATACATATATGTATATATATATATATATATATATATACATAACCACACACGTGTGTGTGTATGTGTGATTGTGTATTTATGTATGTACATTTATAGATAAATGAATAGATTAGATTGATATATAGATATATATAGAGAGAGAGATAAATAGAGAGACATGTAGTTACATGTAGATAGACAGACATACATATAGAGAGAGTAATGGATACACAGATGAACGAGTGTATGAAAAAAATCCTGCTAATCCTTTTGACATCCTCGCGCATGTCAAAACGCACGCTTCTCGGCACTACAATTAACTCAACACTAGAGCAAGGTTTCAAGTACGCGAGACCGTCTGGCATCTGTGTTAAAGCGAAACACTGGAGGATTTAGCGTGTAAGTTGAGCTTCCTTTTAAACCTTTAAACCTCTCTGCATGTTCTGATGGGACACTGAGGGGCCTCCGGGCTCTCCGTTATGAAATGCGTCTCCTTTGTGTCAAACTTCAAAGGGGAAATTATGAAAACCATGTTCCTTTATCACGTTCTGTAAATAACTCTTCCCTTTTGTTTGTGAGCTAACCGTGTTACGACTTGGAAGGCTGGTTAATGCGATGGAGGTTAGATGTTACAAGGAAACTTTTTCCATCTCTGTTTTCACTTGTGTGTGTGTGTTTTTAATGTGGATGTTTCCTTAGTACCTATTGGGGAAAGGAAAAACTGAGGAGAGTGATTGCTTGAAATTGTACTCTTCTTTTCTCTGTTTCTTTATTATGTCTGCTTGAAAGTAAGAGAGAGAGAGGGGGGGGGGGGGATTTAAGCATAAAAAACAAAAGCCGTAAATCATATCCAAATGGACTTCTATCTTTAACCTTCTAAAGCACGTATTCTATTTAAGACAAAGCTCATAAAATATATCACGAACATAGTTTCTTCTCATCCAAGCAGGCAATTTAGTCCCCTGGTTCTTTTGCATTTTAACGATGGCAGTTCCGTATTGGCTGGGTATGTGATTCAAAATATGGTAATAACAACATAAATTTTATAACGCAAACTGCGGAGATATGCAGGGAAGAAATAGGGATACATTTGTAACAGATAAGATGAGGAAGCTTTTTGAGAAACAAAGAAGAAAGAAAACAATACAGAGAAATTGCATAATGGATATATTGTAAAAGTTATTCTTATTTCATGAACATGTATATCCTTTGTTTTTTTTTTCTTTTACTGAGCCAGTTTATCTCTCTCTCACTCTCTCGCTCTCACGCTCTCTCTCTCTCTCTCTCTCTCTCTCTCTCTCAATCTCTCTCTCTCTCTCTCTCTCTCCCTCTCTCTCTCTCTCTCCAGTTTCTCCTCTCTCTCTCTCTCTCTCTCTCTCTCTCTCTCTCTCTCTCCCTTTCATTCTCTCTCCCTTTCTCTCTCTCTCTCTCCCCTCTTTCTCCCCACCCCCCCCTCTCTCTCTCTCTCTTCGAATGTCAGTGGTCTTTGATGAAAATTTCAACATTTGGTAATATACCACATTTCAT